GCATTCATCGATTCAGGCTGTGAACGGAATTTAATCGATTCAAACCTCGTCCAACAACTCCAAATTGAAACCATTCCTCTGACTCAACCTCTTAGTGTTTCTGCTATTGACGGAAAGAGACTTCACCAAGTTACCCATCAAACTCAGCCCCTCGAGCTACTTCTGTCAGGTAACCACCGAGAGACAATAACATTTTTTGTTTTTCCTTCTGCATGTTCCCCTCTGGTGCTTGGTTTCGAATGGTTGGAGAAGCATAATCCTCACATTAATTGGACTGAGCGTCACCTGGAATCATGGTCTACTTCATGCCATGAAACATGCCTCCGTTCGGCTGCCCCCTTGGTGGGGTCTCCTAGAGGTGGGGGGGAGATGGACTCTCCTGACCTTTCTTCTGTTCCTTCCGAGTACCATGACCTAGCTCCTGTCTTCAGTAAGGTCAGTGCGACGTCCCTACCTCCACACAGACCATATGACTGCGCCATTGAACTTTTACCTGGTGCACCACTACCTAGCAGCAGGTTGTATAACATTTCCAAGCCTGAAAGAGAAACCATGGAAAAATACATAAATGAATCATTAGCTGCAGGAATAATCCGCCCATCTTCTTCTCCTTTGGGCGCTGGGTTCTTCTTCGTTGGAAAGAAAGATGGCTCCCTGAGACCATGTATTGATTATCGAGGTTTGAACCAGATCACAATAAAGAACAAATACCCACTTCCTCTACTCGCCTCTGCATTCGAACCTGTACAAGGAGCTACAGTTTTCTCTAAACTGGATTTAAGGAATGCTTATCATCTTCTTAGGATCCGCGAAGGAGATGAATGGAAAACAGCCTTCAAGACTCCATTGGGCCAATTTGAGTATTTGGTAATGCCTTTTGGTCTAACTAACGCTCCAGCCTGCTTCCAGGCCCTCGTGAGCGATGTTCTCAGAGACTTTTTGAATGTGTTTGTCTTCGTTTATATTGATGACATACTCATTTACTCTAGGAACCTCGCTGAACATAAGAAACATGTCGGCCTTGTTTTACAGAGACTGCTGGAGAACAAGCTGTTCGTAAAGGCCGAGAAGTGCGAATTTCACCAGTCTTCAGTCACCTTTTTGGGGTTTGTGCTCGAGGGCGGCCAGGTAAAACCATCTGAGGACAAGATAAAGGCAGTGTTAGATTGGCCAGTTCCAGAGACCCGCAAACAGCTACAGAGATTTCTGGGTTTTGCAATTTTTTATCGTCGGTTCATCAGGAACTATAGCCAAACCGCCCTTCCATTAACTTCTCTGACCTCTGTCAAACGCACTTTTCAGTGGACACCTGAGGCGCAAGCTGCGTTTGATAAATTGAAATCTTTATTCTCCAGAGCACCAGTGCTAATGCAGCCTGACCCTGCTAAACAATTTATTCTCGAGGTGGACGCTTCAGATTCTGGAGTTGGAGCAGTCCTATCCCAGAGACTTGACACGGACCAGAAGATCCACCCTTGTGCATTCTTCTCCCGTAGACTTTCTTCCGCTGAGCAGAATTACGATGTGGGAGACCGAGAGCTGTTGGCCATCAAACTGGCGCTGGAGGAATGGAGACATTGGCTGGAGGGAGCTGAGCATCCGGTTCTAGTATGGACTGACCACAAGAACCTGGCTTACATCCAGTCAACCAAGCAAGCCAATCCTCGTCAATCCAGGTGGTCCATCTTTTTCTCACGGTTTAATCTCATCATCTCCTACAGACCCGGATCCAAGAATGTCAAACCCGATTCTCTCTCTCGTCTTTACTCCGTCGATCATCCCGAGACGCCTGAACCAGTCCTTCCGGCTTCCTGCACTGTGGGAGTGGTTAACTGGGAAATCACTGACCTTATCAACTCCGCCCTGGCTACTGAACCCGACCCAGGTAACGGTCCCACTAACCGAACCTATGTGCCATCTTCCGTCAGGTCCCGTCTCATCCAATGGATGCATGCTGCCAAGTTTTCTGCTCATCCGGGAGTCAGTAGAACTATAGCTTTGATCTCAAGACGCTTCTGGTGGCCCACCCTCCATAGAGATGTCAAGGAGTATGTGTTGGCTTGCTCCACATGTGCCCGTAATAAAGCCTCACATCAACCTCCTTCTGGCCTGCTTCAGCCGCTTCCGGTTCCCTCGCGCCCTTGGTCCCATATTGCTATTGACTTTGTCACCGGCCTCCCCGTTTCTAGAGGTATGTCCACCATTTTCACCATTGTTGACCGTTTTTCGAAGGCCTGCCATCTCAAACCCCTTAGGAAACTCCCCACGGCCTTCCAGACAGCCCAGCTCCTCGTCAAACACGTCTTCCGCTTACACAGCATTCCCCAAGAGATCCTCTCGGACCGGGGTCCTCAATTCATATCCCAAGTTTGGAAATCATTCTGCTCCTCTCTCGGCTGTAAACCCTCTCTGACCTCTGGTTACCATCCACAATCAAACGGACAAACAGAGAGGATGAACCAGCAGCTGGAATCAACCCTTCGTTGCCTCACCTCTAACAATCCCGTGGACTGGAGCCAATTTCTCACATGGATCGAATACGCACACAACTCCCTCAAATCTGCTTCCACTGGTCAATCTCCTTTTCAGGTTAGTCTCGGTTATCAACCTCCACTTTTTCCCGCAGACGAAAGAGAGATTTCGGTCCAGTCAGTAAATCAACACATCCGACGCTGTCAGAAGATCTGGGGAGAAACCATTGCCACCCTCAACCGATCTTCAGAAACCAACAAACGCTTCGCTGACGCCAGGAGACGTCCCGCCCCCGAGTACACAGAAGGCCAAGAGGTATGGCTGTCCACTCGGGACATTCCCCTTAAGGGGATGTCTCGAAAACTCTCGCCCAAATTCATAAGTCCCTACAAGATCTCCCGAGTCATCAGTCCTTCAGCCGTCCGTCTCCAACTGCCTCAGTCTCTCCGGATTCACCCAACCTTCCACGTGTCCCAAGTCAAACCTGTCGTCTCGAGTTCTCTGTGCCCGCCTTCCGACTCCCCACCACCCGCCCTGGAGGTCGATGGTCATCCAGCCTTCACCGTTCGACGCATCGTGGACTCCCGTCGACGAGGTCGTGGCTGGCAGTACCTCGTCGACTGGGAGGGCTACGGACCGGAGGATCGCCAGTGGGTTCCGGGCTCGTACATCCTCGATCCTGCCCTTATCGAGGAGTACGAGCGTTCCTGCCCTTCGACCTCTTCCGGACCGCCAAGGGGCGGTCGTTGAGGGGGGGGTACTGTTGGGAGCTGGAGAAATTCCACCTTTCTCCAGCCCATCAAGATCATCAGAGGATCCACTATATAAGCTGTCTTCAGACCTTGCCTCAACGCCGCAGTGTTGATCCAGTTGGTCAGCGCCTAAGCCTAGACTCTCAGTGTAACTTTGTGACTTTGAATCCAGCCTGGATTCTAACCGTTGTCTTTGTCTTCCAGGAAACCAGTGTCTCCTCTGTGAAGCTCTGGAAGAGCTAACCTGCCGAGCCGACCCTCAGAGCCAAACCCGAAGAACCATAGAGAACTTCCATGCAGCTCAGGACTAAGAGCTGGAAAACCCTAAGCTAAGGTCTGTTCTTAATAGACGTGAGACGCTGAAGCAGCAAGCGGACTCTGCTGATCAACTCCTCTCCAGATCCAACAGTGACTCTCCCAAAGCTAACCTCAAGAACCCTCAAGGTACAATCAGTTATCATCAGGAAATCAAGTCCCAACTTGCAACGCTAACTGAACTGTCTCTCACGCAGACTCCGGTGAACCAGTGTCCAGGCCCGAGCCAGAACCAGTACATTCTGTGTGCTTGTAACAAAATAAACTTGTTGAACTTTTATTCCTGTGTCCGACAGTGGTGTTCTGCATACTTGGGTCGCTCTTTGAGAACCCATCATGACACTTAGGAAGATTGTTTGTTCATGTTTTGAAACAAACAAAGGGGATTTGGATGATAGAGAACCAGTCTTGCAGAAATGAATCCAAATTAATTTCATTGCATTTCCTCCCCTTCCCCATTAACTGTCATGTTTTCTTTTTACAAATATCAAAACGATAAACAGAAATATCATTAAAATGCATAGTTTTATGTAATTCAGTATACATTTTCCCCCTCAGGCCTGCTATAGGTGGGCCTGTTGAGATTTGTTTCCATGGGGCCCAAAATCCCTGGCGGTGCCCCTGCAAAGGAGCTCTACCATAGATCATTTTACCAGCTGCTGTTAGGCTGTTTAATCATCACTGCTCCCAACAAGCCCAAATATTTGTTTACAATCATGCTGTTAGTTGCAAAGTTTTAATCAGCTCAGTAGGTGTTTCTATACATTACTGCCTTTATTTACTCAGTTTTACCTGCTATGTTCACAGTTTTTATCTCGACACATTTTCTACAGCCAGGATGTCATTGGCACAGCTTTTTCATCTAATCTGACCATGCATTTTTTAAATGACTTTGTGACATAACATTGACATTCTTTGAGATATGTTCTTTTCCTTTAATTTACAGCTTTTTCTTTTTTACTTTTTTAAATATATCTTTTTACCCATTTTACACACCTAAATTTCCTTATTGTGGGAGAATACAGGGTTATTTAAAGGTCTAGCAACAACTTTTTTAACCGAAACGAATACCGGTAATAAAAAAAAAAAACATCCAGAGAACTTGTGGACTGGTGCAAGACAATTGGATTCATTTTAATGAAAATAATAAACTATATAAATGAATATTTTATACATTTTGGGACGAAAATTTTATAATATTTATTTCTGCTTATGATGCCCACACTGAAATAAAAGGAACCTACATAAATAGTAATATTAGGTTTAAGTAATGAAACATGGAGCTGAGGTAATGCTAGTTCCTTGTAGCTTCGGAATAGCTTGGATCTGAGAAATGGAAACTTGTTGCCTGTATATTTAAACCTTAATATACTACACTTATTTATAAGACACAATTTAGTCAGAGAAGAAAAAAAAAAATAGGACGCATTAAAGATACGTAGGACGCATGCAAGGACTTACCTTGTATCCCTGGTTGATACCATTAATGAACTGCTGAGGTGGAGGGTTCCAAGTGAAGCGGATGGTGGTGGAGTTTATTGCTAAAATTTCCACCTCTTGTGGAGGTGCTGTGGGAACTGAAAACAGAAACACAGAAAAAAAAAAAAAAAGTAGTTCATTAGCAGGAAATGGAAATGTGAGATTAGAAAAATGCACTCTGGCTTTTTCAACGTAAAAAAGCTGAAAATAGTTCCTACAGCTCCTTTGTTCCACATTTATGTCCAGCTCATTTTCGAATTTAAATGATCTGCTTATTTTGCAGAAGCTAAATGTCAAACCTACTGATCTGTGCTTCGCTGCAAAATGACCTAATTTCTCCAAACAATGACATCTAATATGTGGTACTTTGCATTTATGTATTTTGCATATCATTACCTTTAACAAGACTTAATAAGTGATCTATTTCAGGCTCACTGTACATAATGGTGGGTCACTGAATGAGTCCTGAAGCCAGTAAATTCTCCTACCATTAATCTGTTAGGCCCTACATCGCTACAGCAGATTTTATTGACTAAAATAGATTGAAACTAATAAAAAGAACTGATACTTTATTCATAATGTTTCGACTTGCAACAGATCCTCCAGTGACTGAACCCTGCAGTTGCATCATTGTTTAGAAACTATGTCCTAGGATAGCTCAACATGTTGAGCTATCTTTAGTGCATTTATACAGAGTTCTTTTTTATATATACACATTTATTCTATTTCTTTTATAAATATAAAAACACTGCTTGATAAAAAAAAAATCATAACCCCGACATTTTCTCACATTAAAACAGCAAATGTCAGGGTGTTCTACTGGTATATTATGTGATGGACCAAAATAAAATAGAGGCACTTTTTTTTGCAAAAAACACCACAAAAAGCTGATGAATTAATATGAATGTTAATAATATTAAGTGTAATGTGCATTTGGCCTCAGTCCATTTTGTTCTTTACACCTTCATAACACCTGTAACAAAAAATAGCCTAGGGAAAGTACTTATGAATTAAAAGTGATGTTTATTCTACTTTTGTATATTTGGCATGGTCTGTTAGAGTTTAAGGTTAATCCTAGATGGCATTTATCGAAACTGAAACAAGCAAATGGTGTTTCGCTCTGGTGGCTCAGGTAATGGGACGAGCCTCAGTACCACATACCGTATTTTCTACGGACTATAATCCGCTGATTATTCCCCACGCTTTGAACCATGCGGCTTTTAAGAGGGTGCAGCTTTTCTGTTGATTTTTCCTAACCGCCAGAGGGGGAAATCACAGTTGTAAATGAAAGAATAAGGGGCTAATTTTCTTTTATCACAAGAACATGCTAGCAGCAGGCACGATGGAGAACAAACGTCCCGAATTCCCACATTTTGACATTTATTTGCCTCATTAAAGCTGCCGAACAAATAAAAAGACTGGGTTCAACTCCTGTCCTGAAAATACCGTATGTTTTAGAACTGTCCAGCCATTATAACATAAAGGAACATCCTTTTTCAAACCAATTCTAGATTAACAAAAAATAAACAGCCACAAAAAAAAAAAATAATTATTGAAGTCAGATCCAATGGCTCTATTTAGTGAAAGACTGGTTTCTGCACAACTGTCAGACCCAAAGTAGTGAATGATCAGTTTTGTAACTTAAATGGCCTAGAGACAGATTTTATTATGCTGGAAATGGAACCCCAGCAGAGAAGCAGCCACAAGGCCAACGGTATCAGTGGAGGAGCTACTGAAATCCATAGCTGAGGTCAAATAATCTGACAAAATCAGAGCTAGTACTACTGCATAAGCTACTCAAGTCTGGCCTTTATAGAGGGCTGATAAATAGAATTGCAGAAACAAAAGGAAGCCTCGCTTGCGGCTTGCCCGAGTTAGAAAGAAATATCTCAAAGATTAAAATAAAACTTTTTCACCCTCATCGGTCTTGATAATAAAGGCAAAACTGAAATCAGATAGAGGCATACATAAAAGACTTGGAGCTGTATATGCATTGAAAGGTTGTTCTGCAAACTAATGTCTCTAATTAACCTGATTACAAATAGGAATTCACATTTAAAACATTATTTTAATCATTTATTATTTTCCATCTACTGCACAATCCTCTTATATTTTTCTCTGCTCACTTTAAACCTCTATAAAAACTACTAGATTTTTTATATAAAAGGTTGCGCATGTGACACCAAAGCAATGGACTCAAATGAAAGCAGAATTGAAAAAAAACTTTGCAGTCTGTAGAAAACACACAAGATGCAACCAAATACTATCGCATTTAAAGGTTTTCTTTCATGCAAATCTTTGGAAGGTGTTTGAAATCTATCAGAGTTGCTGTTCAGTGGCAGATAAAGAGAATCCTTTGTGAATGAATATTAAAGCCAGAGAGAGACAGCGAGACACAGAGAGGAGTGATCCTTAATCGTGTGTCCATGTGTGTGTGAGTCTGTGGGCAAGTCATGGTGATTACATGTTAACCGGTTTATGCTGCTGCTTTAAAGCCACAGAGTGGTAACAGTCTGTTGCATGCTGGAAATGTCCTTTAAATCATATTTATGAACTAAAGTTGCCATATGACACTTGTATATGTAAGGAGGAAATGCACACAGAATCTTCAGGCTGGAAAATATCTTCAGCAAGCTTCTTCAAAAGCGAGAGGCCAGAGAAACGACAGCGAAGAGTGAGAGGACAGAGAGGCAGACAGGAGATTAATTGATGTTAAAGATGTTCTCTAAGTCTCTGCCATGCAGGCTCTTCTCCCGGGATGTGGGTTTTTGCCCCTAGCAGCTCACAGCTCCAGATAAAACACTAAACTATGCCCTTCAGGGGAATCTTAGTATGCGCTGAGGCAGCTCGCAAGAGAGCGGGAGAAAAGTAATGTTATCAGAGTTTAACACAGACTTCAGCCACATCCTCTCAGAGACAGTAAGAGGAAGAAAATGTCCAATCCATCACAGCCACTCCTATTAAACCACATTAGAATAATTAATGAGCCTGACTCCGTCTCCTGAGTCTATAAACCTGTCCCGCACTCTTGTAATGATGCCTGCGACTTCTACGTGTAGGTGTGCGAGAGTGAATCCGCACATCTTTAATAATTATAATATACTGTTGGAATAAAAATCAGCAAGAGACAAGAACGCGTTTAAAGAAGATTAAACCTTACAACCACTCCTGCTCATCTCTCTTAACACTCCCTACTTATATTTTCTTCCATGTTCACAACTACATTTCTGATTTATTTTTCCGAGCTGAAGGTACGTTCCACTGAGAAGCCATGTCTTCTAAAATAAACACACTATAATCTGACAGATTATATATCACTGGAGCTGTTGGAAAACTCTTTCCCCATTGATTCCTTCCATCCCACAGTTTTTCCAGCTGCTTGTTAGCCAGATGGAAGATGAACTGGAATCCCTTCGGCATATCCTGGGTCGCCCTTAGGGTCTCCTCCCAGTTGACTGAAAACTGCTTTGCCTGCGAGGAGATGCCTCGGGGGCAACTTTAATCTAAATCAGAACAGCATCAACTGGCTCTTCTATAAGCTGAGTAATACCGAAGGCGTTTGAGGCAGCGGAGAGAGCTTGCATGTACATGTCAGTCATCCCATCACAAACTAGAACATTAAAAACAGGTGAGAGGAGTGGATCATGTCATGGTTACATCATCCCTGTCAGTCAAATCGGCTGTAGCTCCAAAATATGTGCAGCTCTTTGCAGTTGCATCAAATGTGCTTGAAGGCAGTGCCTCTTATCTTAAAACACAGCGGGTGCAGGACTCGTCTTATTGCATGTTTTGGAACCTTGTTAAATAAATTCAGCAAAATGTCTCTCTTTCAGAGGTTATGATTCAAAGTGTGCCGTAGATCATGAGCCAGGGACGTTCATGAGGAAGGAAACAAGCTTGCAAATCTCCACCAACCTCCCTGCAGGGTGTACTCTGTAACAGGGCTGCTGTAGACGCCCAGGCCGGCTCCTGTGTAGGCAGCCACCTGGATCTGGTACTGAGTCCAGATGATGAGGTCCTTCAGCAGACAGTAGTTAGTTTCTGGGGTGCTGATATTCTTCTCCTGGTAGTCTCCCGGCAACCCAGCCAGACGGTACCTAAAGACACACACACACACAAACCATTTACACTCGTTCATTTGTTGTACCAGGACGAAATGTAAACCTGTCCACAGGGAGCAGGTTTGATTAAAGTTTGTTAAATTACAGACTAATCTAAGTGGTTCTTATTAAATATAACACAGTTATTAGTTTTTAAGCATTACATTTTTGAGAAATAGGCCTGATTTATAACTAATATAAATATTCAGAGGACTTGTTTACTCTTACGCTCATTTGCTGAACTGAATGGTTAAAACGAAATAAAGTAGCGTACTAATTAATGAAAGGACCATTAAGCAATCTATTCATGATGTGTCACAGAGTAAACCATTAAAAAGTTTCCTAGGTATGGATTTGACATTTTTAAGTCAAAATCTCCCAACTTTATATGTATTTTATTATATTATGCCAGGTTTTAAACTACTACTTTTACTGTGAAGGTCAACATATTCTATTACACTTCTTTTATAATGCCTTTTTCCTTTCACCATACATCTAAAATGCAACCCTCACTTATTTTAGGATATTTTCTTAGAATCGACAGACTTCTTCTAAAAGGTTTTTGCACCTTCACCATCGGTTTCAGCCTTTATTTGGACCATTACTATTTTTTTGTCATCTTTTTAGTAGAAGGCAATTTGAAGTTTGAAAACCTAGAAAAAAGCTGTGCTCATATATACCTAATTAGACAAGGTAAAATTCAATCGTTAGCTTGTTTCCTTCAAGTCCTTAGCTAATAGTGTAAAAATTATCTATCCTGATCCCCCAAATTCCTTTTGTCAATGAAATCATATGCAGTTTGTAGATATGGAGGCCTCCAACTCCTCATGTATAAGTGGTTTGAATATGGAATGTATTGGTGGAACGATTTGGATTTCATTGCACCAGTTTAGTGAGATCCTTTCGTTGCAACCTGAGGACATAATATGCACTGCCTGTTCTGTCAAAATCCTGCAAACCAGGCAGTGTGACAAGCTCAAACTGGAATTCTTGGGCAACACACTTCAGTTCTGCTAGTTGGACTGAAAGGATATGTATCATATATTTGCCTATACTTTATCAACAGACATTACAATTTTCATTTGAAGTAAAATTTGGTCATGCTATTAACTGCTCTAAATACTTTGCATTGGGTGCAACAACTTGTTGACTGCAAAAGACCTGCAGAGACCATGCTAGTTTAAATATATTTCAATCCCCAAACACCTTATAATTGAGAGCTAGATAAAAAATAAACAAGAAAAAAAAATGCATAAAAGTTACGAAATGTCAGCTTGGCAGCAAAAATATTAACAAATTATGAAAGCAAAAATATAAACGTGACTCAGTGTAACTTTAGCCTAAAATTTACATTATATGTGTCCTCTTTCAATTTTGCCAAGGGATTATTACATAACCATTTAAGGATTTTCAGCAAAAGACAAGACCTTTTAAAGACCCGTTAAGACAGAAACTCTGTAATTGTATCTTTAAATAGTGCACCTTCAGGGCCTTTGCTATAGTATATGTGATTTAAACACCCACTTAAAAGAATATATGACCCACAGAGACAGGGGAAGTGGAATACTACTTTAGTATTGTACATATCTGATAGAGCTGAATGGAGCAATAATCCCCATGTCAGCGTTTTAATATGACACCTATTCTCTATAACAGGATGTTCCAACGATTCACTGGCTGAGTCAGCACTCAATCACACATGCATATTGCCCACACACACACTGACAAATACAAATTCTGAGTAGGCACCGGGGGACGACATCAGCTCTCTGCAGAGGTGAGAAGATAACCCTTCTCGCTTCTATCTCCACTAGCACACAGGGAGAAGAAGCAGAGGGGGAGGAGGGGGGGCTGACTGAAGCCAGAGGGACGGAGGAACTAGGAAAAGAGAGCGAGAAGCTAGCAACTGAGACAACCACAAGAAAAAGGAATCCAAAAGAGGAGGGCGGAGGGAGGTAGAGGCACTGTTCTTCAAAACTGAAAAGATACAGCAGGGATGTCTGAGTGTGTATTGCTGCTTTTTAAAAACTGATTTCTGAAGTGGAGTCAGTGAACGAGGATAAAGACCTGATAACTTTAACTACAATTATATGCAAATGTGTGTGCAAGACACCTGATGACAGTTTGATTACACAGAGTGTGTCATACTTCAGGTAGACAGCACAGAGGACATCAGGCCAAGGGCAGCAGCGACATCCTTAAAGAGCAATCGTTCTTGTGTGAAAGTGTGCTACCATGGACATTTTTTTTTCTTTTTTGGTATTTGACAAAAAAATGAATAAAATATATGACAGAAAGTGCTATTCATGCTTTGCTGAAATGTTTTCTACTAACACTAATATCATTATTTAGTAAGGATGACCAATATAGGTCACTGTTAATATCTGATATTATGGCTTGCAACTGATATTTACCAATATTATACATTTCTCTACACTTTGAACACAGCGAAAAACCCACCACAGTGTTGACATTGCATCTCTTCAGTTAAACACCCCCAATCCTGCACATGACCAATCCCAACATATATTCTTTATTAAACAAAACAACACCAATTAGAAGGATTAAACAGTGCTTGTTAATATCTGCTAAGTTCTACTTATCATGACTGATATGTTTAGAAAAAGGAGCAATATCAACCAATACGGTGGCAAAAAATCAATCAGAAACACTAACAGTACTACATTCCTAACCTTTCATAAGGTTAGGAATGTAGGTTAGCAGCTTTCATAATAGTACAAGTGTGTCTGCAATTGGATCTAATTCAGGAGAAGTAAGAAAATGTAATCAGTTAAGAAAAAGTACCACTTGAATATAACAGTACATCTTCAAACATCTTAGTATCATGAAAAGCTTCAATATTTTTTTGCATCATTACAGAAAATGAAGCTCGTTTATTATATATTTTCATTGCACATACAGAGAAATATTACAAGCTCATTTCTTGCAATTGTGATGAGTGTTGCTTGAAGAGAATGAAAACCTGGATTTCAGAGTTTCAGAAAGTCGACTAGTACTTTTATTGTAACAAATGAACTTAATTGGAACAGATTTTCAGATTCATTGAAAATTACAAGTCAAATCACTAATATCAGTTTTGAAGTACAATTATCCTGGGCCTTTGCAATAGGCTGATCACAAATAACCAACTGGTGTCCGAGATAAATCCCTGATGGATGTAATTCAATGTGTGCGACAGTATTCCCACGTACAGTATTGCTAGTTTCGTTTCTTACTATTTTAAACTGGGTCAAGTTTTGAGTGTGTTTAGTGTGTGCTCACCTTAGTACATATCCTCGGAGGACACCATTAAGCTCTGATTCTGGGGGAGGCTGCCACTGGACCATAATGGACTGGTTTGTGCGACCGCTCGCAACAATGTTGTTAGGAGGAGCGCTCGGCGCCTCCTCCCGAAGCATCATCCTAGGAGATACATAGAAATTAAAGGAGAAATAAAAAGTGAAATGTAGAGAGAGAAGAAGTACAGCTATAAAAGCGCTAATAATTTTGCAACTTGATCACACAACCACGGCATATTCATTAATGTGTATATCAAACCTTTATGTTTTCTCCTCTGGTCTTTACTGACATTCGCTTTTGTTTCATAGACTGACAGAATCTAGAATTCTTTGGATCTACAGTCTGCATGTTGTCAGTTACTGTAAACATCTGTTTTATTAATAGCAAACCTTTATTCATGTCTACGCCCTCCTTCAGCTTATTGTATAGGGTAATTAGCAATATAAAGTCGCTGAATACATTACAATACAATGTGTGATGAGCTGATCATTGGGTCAGAGTATCTTTTATTTTGCAGCTCCTGTAGGGTGTTTCTTCAGTGATTAGTATCTATTTAGTATTGGCTTTTTTTTTTTTTTTTTTTTTGTAGTTTTTATGGCACAGGTTGTTTTTTTTTCGGGTATGAGAGAAAGGGAGAGACTATCACTATTATTGCTGAGCTCTTTGTACATTAGATAGATGGGCAGGCATGGGCGACAATTTACTGGAAAACATGTAGCACAAAAATCAACATCTAGAAGTTTTGCAAGACATGTGAGTTATTGTGATGTCATGTGCAATGTTCTACTAGGAAACCTTGCATATGGTGTACATTTTAGGACATCCTCAGTTCTCAAGAAAAAAACTTCTCAGGTCTCAGGATATAGGTTTTTGTTTGTCAGGAATAAAAGTTCCCAGGAAACAGAAAAAAAGTTGTCAGTTCTCAAGAAACAATGGAGATCTTTTTAGAAATTAAGTGAAATTGCGACTAACTGGCTAGATATTGAAGTTTAAAAAAGAAACGTTCTCGCCTAAAAACACTTCAAAGTAAATTTTGGGTCTTATAAATTGAAATAGCCACAAAGCTTTCCCTTTAGTTCACTTTTGCTCCATTTGTGTTCTGTTCAATTCTGTTCAGATTGTGAAGTTTTCATTGTAAAAACCATATTTACATATAGAAACAACTTAAACTCACCATGGATGTACTTACATTCCCTAACTATTCAATAACTTCCTTCTCTGCCACTGTTGCAAAATGATGACATATTTGCTTCACCTGAGACAGTCTGCAGTGTGGGATCCGGAGTATCCTTTGATTTCGGAGTATCCTCGAATTTCCCATAAGTCATTGTGGACCAAAGCAGATTGGTCAGCTCGGACAGCAATGGTGGCAAGAAAAGTGGTTAAAATGTATATATTAACCTTTATATAACCCAAAATAAACTTGAAAGGTGTTTTTAGGAGAGAATGTAGCTTGTTTAAACTCAAATATCTGCGTAGTTGGGAGTTATTTCACATAATTTTAAAAGGGAGCTCCATTGTTTCCTGATAGCTGATAAATAAAAACTTTTATCCCAAGAACTGGGATGTCCCAAAATGTACACTCTACCTGCAGATGTTAGGTAGACACATATTGCCTAACTAGATGGTGCTACACACTATTGGAGCTTTTCCACTTGCTAACTTGCTATCTAGGCTTTTCTAATACCGTATTTTCACGACTATAAGGTGCACCTAAACGTATTTTTTTCCCCTCAAAATGTGGGGTGCGCCCTATGGTGCGGTGCGCCCTATCTGCGGACGTTGTTGAGACCACCATGAGTATGTGAGAACCTTAAAGGGGGAAGTGTGGGCGTGGCTTGTGTATAAAAGAACAGGTATGTGCTTTATGCAGAACATTGTTGTCTTAACAACCCTGGAAATGGCAAAGAGACACGCCTATGAAGCCCAGTTTAAACTGAAGGCTATCAGCTACGCAGAGGAACATGGAAATCGAGCAGCTGCGAGAGAATTCAATATAAATGAATCGATGGTTCGCAAGTGGAGAAAGCTGGAAAACGAACTCCGACTGGTGAAGAAGACGCAGCTGAGTTTCCGCGGACATAAGGCGAGGTGGCCCGAGTTGGAGGAAAGACTCGAGCGGTGGATCGTGGAGCAAAGAACGAGTGGGGCCAGCGTTTCAACGGTCACTGTTCGACTAAAAGCAGTAAAGCTGGCGGAAGAAATGAAAATTGAAAATTTTCAAGGAGGTCCATCGTGGTGCTTCCGTTTTATGAAACGGTGCAATTTTTCCATCCGGACCAGGACTACAGTTGCTCAGCGACGTCCGGCGGATTATGATGAAAAGCTGGCGAGCTTCCACTCTTTCTGCAGCAAGCACATCGCTGACAAAGTCATCCAGCCAAGCCACATCACCAACATGGACGAGGTGCCGCTCACTTTCGACATCCCGGTGAATCACACCGTGGAGAAGAAGGGGACCAGCACTGTAGCGATACACACAACGGGGTATGAAAAGGCGTCGTTTACTGTTGTGCTTGGCTGCCACGCAAATGGACAGAAACTGCCGCCTATGGCGATTTTTAAAAGAAAAAGGAAAGTGACTCTGACAGCGAAGAAGAAGGGGAAACTGGCATGTCGGATTTAGCGCAGCTGTTTAATTCAGAAACAGAGGATGAGGACTTTGAGGGGTTTGAGTAATACTCTGTAATAAATACATGAATAAAGCACAAGCATACTCAGTTTTGCTCCAGCTCTATTTTTCTACCTGAAAACTTAATTCAACAGCAGCCTCTGGCCCGCGGCGCATCCGGGCTCACCTCCGCAGGTGTTTTTTTTATCTAAATAATCTAAATCTTTTTAAGTGAGAAAGTCCACCTGAAAATTTAATCATTGCAGTCAGTTCATCCAGATTATTATCCTGCCTATGTTTTAAGTTAATTTATGCGTCAATAAACGAAGAAGAAGGGGAAACTGGCATGTCGGATTTAGCGCAGCTGTTTAATTCAGAAACAGAGGATGAGGACTTTGAGGGGTTTGATTAATACTCTGTAATAAATACTTGAATAAAGCACAATCATACTCAGTTTTGCTCCCGCTCTATTTTTCTACCTGAAAACTTAATTCAACAGCAGCCTCTGGGCCGCGGCGCATCCGGGCCCACCTCCGCAGGTTTTTTTTTCATCTAAATAATCTAAATCTTTTTAAGTGAGAAAGTCCACCTGAAAATTTAATCATTGCAGTCAGTTCATCCAGATTATTATCCTGCCTATTTTTTAAGTTAATTTATGCGTCAATAAACTGTATCAGAGGAGTAATCACAGCCCTGTGTCATCAGCGATGTGTCTCTCACGGCCGGTTCCCAGGTTTGAATAATACTTTGTAATAAATACACCTTGCAGCTTTATTTGCTGTGATCAGTGGGAATAAAGTAGTTTTAATATGTTTTTAAGTGGGAAAATCCACCTGAGAGGACATGTACCTGTATATAAAAAACGCGCCCTATAGTCCGGTGCGCCTTATGTGTGTGTTAAATACAGGAATGGCACACATAACTGAGACTGCGCCTTTTAGTCCGGTGCGCCTTATGGTCGTGAAAATACGGTAATAACGGTTGAATTAAATTACTCTTTCAGTACTTGGTTGGCTGGGGTTCTAACATGCAGAGCCACCTTAGAAGACTGTCAGTCACTGATTAATTATGGGGTAGAGTCATAAATTACCATGTACGCATTATAATAAATAATATCTTGAACCTTTACATTGTTGTATGCTGAGACCATACCTGTATGACTGCTATAGCAAGCTACCATTAGGTAGTGTTAGCCTAACCTGACACATCCTTCAGCCCGTAACCCTTAGTTACAGCTCCATAGCTTCCCTGTCTCTCCTGTGGCCATCCAGGGTGCTTTGTTTCCAGATGCAACAGCCTCTGGATGGTTTGTTTGTGTCACAGCAAATCACATCATGTTACGTCATTGGACTGTGGCAGCATCTGTTTTTACAATCACTAACACATTGGGATGGTTACCTTATTATGATAGTTAAAAACTAAGTGTGTAGAACAGAGTCTACCAGAGACAAGCTGAGCAGAAGGTAGCAGATAAAACTATCTCCTGGAAATGGTATATTCCTAATATCTGTTTTTGTTTTTTGAGCTTAATAATGCACTCCGCCACATTGCAAAAGTTGTTTAGGAATGATTTGAGGAACAAAACAATGTGTGTGTCCCCCAACAGTTAATGGTCTTAAATCTTCGGCTGCTAAGATCCAGGTACCAGTTACCACAACATCTTTTTGATGTTTGTTTACCTCTATAAGATCAATGTAAAAAATCAATCCAGACAATTTGACATTACTTAATTTTCCTAATTTAATTCACAGAATTGTAATAGAATTGTAAGTTGCTTTATCAGATCTGATTATAATTAAAAGATCAAGAGAGGTGAAAGCTGAATTCTTTATAGCTGCATTTGAATCAGGCCCTTTTTGGTTCAGTCTACAGGCCATTTCTGCATTCTGGAGTCTATGACTTGACTTAGCAAATGTCTAAAAACAATAAAATGCTGGGGAGCTCTAGGCAATTGGTTTTAATATTCTGGTCGGTTTGACCCTATTCAACCCCGGCCCACAATTTCCCTTACAGTAGAAGAGCAATACAGTCTGACAGTAGAGGGTAGTTAAATCAGCTCCAGTAGAAAACGAGCAAAGACCTTGTCTTTTCATTCCTAGAAAAGCTGTATGATCCCTTACTGCCTCTGCCCGGCCTCTGCCTCTCCAAACTGTCTCCTCATCTTTACTTTGACATTTTGAACCAACTCTCTATTTTCCCCCCGCCCAATCTGCAAACTTCCACCTTTTATCCAACATGTCCTTTGGCCCCAATTATTTCATCCTTCAATCTTTTACTCATCTCCTTTCTCCCTTCTCTACCCTCAAACTTCACCCATGATTAAAGCCTCACGGCCTTCACATGACCAGTAAAGCACACAGGCTGAGTTGGTCAGCCTCTGGCTTTGCTGTAAGCAGCTCAGCAAACATAATCGGAGCCGTACGTGCAAACACATACACACACATTTCTCTCCCGCTTAAGACAGGCCGTAACATCCGACGGTCTTTTCCCTTCCATGGATAACGCCGTAGGA